TTCATTTAAGTTTATATTCCAGAAAGCTGCCAACATACAAATATTAGATACATTTGGCTAATCGCCAAGCAATTAATTCTTGATTTATATGTAGCTTAGGTATTCTCTTTTGAAGTGTGTATAACGATGTATGTAAACATAAATTGACATATATATATATAAATATAAATATTTTACATATTACATGTACTTCTATCTATCTGTACTATATTGTATAGTTTTCCAGCAAAACTACGCGATTTTCTTTTGCTAAAAGCGCGAACTATTATCTGTCAGCATTTTCCGGCAAATAAAATGGAACGTTAAAACGATCAGATATTCATAGCAAAGTTTATTTATATAAATTTGTAGCAAACTATGAGCATGTGTGCGTTTTAGCTAAATTTTTGACTTAATTAACAGTCTAAAATATTTATATTGCAATTATAAATTTAAAAGGATGAAAAACGACTTATAACTGGCGCCTACAGTCGATTGATTTATCGACAGGGCGATACATTTTTGTACGCACATGTCTCAATTTATTTGTATAAATAATACTGTACTTTGAACGATTGTTTTCTATTTGAAAATTTAAAATCATTTGGCATTTTTTTCGTGCTCTAGCATGTTAATTCAAATATTTTGAAAACAAATTTTTAAATGCCATTAATATGCATATTTTATGGCTGCTTTGTACAATTGAAATTACTAGTAATTTATGTGCGCATTTATTAGGCAACATCATGTGAATGCATTTTCACGCGTGCCTGGGTGCGGTCGAATGCAGCGTACGCTTTTGTTTAAATGCCCACAAGTGATCCATATTCTTGGAAAATCCTTGTCCCCAGGTATAATTTATTGCACAGCTCAAGTGTCTAAACAAATTGTGCTCTGGCATTATTTGTGTTGCATTGAATTTACTATAGATTTTTGTGACTTATACAACAACAGGACGGCAAGTGCACCCGTATTCAACCATTAAAACCGGCATTGCGCAATTTTGAGATATTTTGTTTCTTCACATAACGGTGTGGCCAACATTTTATGGCATACATTCAATTTCTGAATATACAAATTTAAATTGATAAAAATCAACTAAACGGATGACGTTGTTTACAAGAAAAATTGTTCATATAAATATCATAAAATTCATTGGCGCATTGAGTTGCGTGTATATCGAAAAATTTTACTCATTTGTAAACATAATAATTTGTGCTAAGTAAATATTCAGTGTTTTAATTAGATTTATAAGTTTGCGTTTTTGACTAGACTAAAGTGTAAAGTAAATGGATTCATTAGATATCAAATTTTTTTTCAAAATAAGGTCATCTCTACATATTCGTCTACAAATGGTTCAACTTAAGTTTTAATGAATCGTTTAATGTTAAAACAAAAATTTTTAGGGTGCAGTTATGTAGTATGAAAAATTAAAAGTGCCAAAAAATAAATTAAATTTGGATTTTTTTGAATTTATTTTGGAAGAAAATCCTTAGGAATTAATCTAAAAAAAAAAAATATATAGTATCTGGTTTACATTCAATTAATATTTATATACAGATTTGGTATTCAGTAATTTGTCAATTTTTTTATATTGATAAAAGAAATTTCATGAGAATATTTTCTTAAATTACGCTTTACATTGAATGTTTTTTTCAATATTCGAACATTTTCAATTAAAAATTATTTCTAGTAAAAAAAGATCGCTAATGATATATTGCAATATATATAATTTATGTAAGGAGTTATGGCGACTTGCTGGCTTTAAAATAAATTTTTGGTTTTCGATACACATACATATGTAATGCACGTTAAATATTCATGTGTATATTTAGAAATATTTCTAGCCCGGCAAAAAGTTTCGAGCGTATTTAAAAGAACCCAGTATAACGCTCAGAACTTTAAAGGAGTTCTTCTTGAATCTCTCCGCGATTGAAATATTAAATTCTATATTGTACATTTTACTTATTTATTAAAAAAGAATTTACAGAAAAATGCACTTGTTCTGACTTGCAAGTGATTATACATAACTGCTTAATCAATTAAAATGTAATTGTTTTTGTGTGTGCCTGTTGCACTTTCGTTTTGCAAAATCCCGGAAAAAATTTACTTAATTTCAGAAATATTTCACATAAAATAGTAAGATTTAACATCGGAATTGGAGCTAATAATTCGCAGTAGAGACTAATATTTTTTTCAATTCTGCTTTATTTATCTAAATTCTATAAAGCTTACAAATTGCCATAGTTGCGAATATATTATGTTAAAAAAGTTGAGACTTAGTACAAACGGTAAATATTATTTTTTTTTTTGCTCCTTTTTTGTATTTTTATTTCATTCTCTAAATTTTTTTATTATTTTTATTTCTTAAATAACAGTTTTAATTTAATAAAAGTAGCTTAGAAATTATAGTAATTTACTTACCAATACATACACTTTCTATGAAATTGTTATTGGCGTTTTAAGAATTTATAAATTTTTAAGAAGACATTTTAAGTTTTATTTCATTAATTTTTTGAATATTTTTTTTTAACACCACACCGTATTTTTAGATTTTATTACGCTTCCCTATGTGTGCAATAAAAAGCGGTATTTGTAAGTAATATATCGATAAATTTTGATTTCGAATATAAAATATATATGTATATGTATTTGTAATGTTTTTATCACTTTTCATCAAATATCAATCAGTAAATAAAACAAGTTTCAGAAAATATATTTTGTGACACACACGTATAGATATGTACACACACTTTACACCCACTGAAATGACATTGGCTGATGTCGCCAAAAACTTAGCGGTCAAAAAAATTTATAACACCACATACATTTTTCATAATAAAACTATAGCACCGACACCACTAAAGGCACAACTAATGTCATATGAAAATAATATTTAATAATAATTTCCCATAATAACACACAGGCGCCACTATTTTGATTGCCAATTCATAATAGTATTCAAACACTCGACAAGTAATTTTCACACGCGAAAATAGAAAAATATTAAAAACACGACACGCGTCACACAAAAAGCTTAAATATTTACTTGTCTACTCTACATAAATATATATGATTTTAGTTAATTTATTAAAGACGAATTTCAAATACTTTTATCAAACGTTATACTCGGCGAAGCGGTTAAAGACTGAGCTGATATCCGTGGAAAGAACTAAAAGCGAGCGCGATCCAATTGAAGTGTCTGCTACCCAAAAGCAGCTGAGAGCAACAAAATCCAACGAGCTCATACGAATGTATGGGAGAGCGCATTGATCGCCGGAGATGTCGCTGATGTGCAAGGTGATTTCTTGTGAAGATGTCTTTTGAATATACAAAATTATGTTAATTTTTAAATGTATATGCACATTTGTTTGTATACCATGTTTGTATATGTATGCATATATGAAGATAAGAATAACAACATAACTCACATGTGTGAACACTTTTGAATTTCGGTCTCCTTGTGAAAACCCATGCTCTTTTTGGACTCTATCCTATATATTCCTCCAATTCTTCTTATAACTGTATTTTAGAATTTTTTTCTCTATTCTTAAATTTAAATTCTCAGTTGCTATTTCCGCTTCCGCGCTCACGAGTAAGCTGTGAATTAAAAAATTCACAATAAGTAACAGTGCCGATTTCTGTTTTTGTTTTCTTTTGTTATGTGCTTCTATTTTTCCTTGTATCACTTGTGATGGAGAGATATTGTTACTAATTTGTTTTCGCTTTTTATTGAAGATAAATTAAGGGTAATTTACAAAGCTGCTCCTAATTCGAAACTATTAAACAAAAAATTAAGTAAAATATATTTTTTTACATTTAAAGTAAACAAGTGAAAGATATTAATGTGTATATCGATTATTTAGTTTCCTTTTGCATAACTAGCAGAGAACGTATACAAAACAACGAAAGTGATAATTTCGATGAACATACGTAATAAATTTTTTATTATAAACACTTCTCCAACAATATTTCACAAATATATTGCGTAGCTTTTAGTGCAGTTTATTAGTAAAGTTTAAACTTAAAAATGGCCACAAAATATGCTGTGCTGGCACGGACATCACGTTTGCAGTCGGTTGCATCGACTGAGGAGCTTGAAGAAACTTCAGCAGAACTACAGAATTTCACAGTTGCTGCTGGCACACTCATAAAAGTTGCATCAGAGGAATCGGCTCCTACGCACAACTTACAAGTGTTTGTTTATGATGCAGTGCTACGTGAACCCAACACAACGCGCATATATCAATGCGCGCAAGATAGTTTATTGCCCGTGTCGGACGATTTGTGGCCATTTATCGTGAGCATACCAGAACCAAATCGTCGCTTGCAACTTGTACAAGATAGCAGTCGTTGTAACTGGTTATATACCGCAATGCCAGGTGATGTAGTTCGTGTGCCGGCTCGCTTCTTTGATCGTGATGATTTTAGGCTTTTTGATTGTATTATTTGTTATATTGGTCCAGTACCGGAAATGCATCCAGTTGGTTATTTCTTTGGCTTGGAATTACTGGTTAGTTAATAGAAAATTCTAGAATACTTATATGTTGTTGTATATGTATTTACATACGAAATACCTATTTCAGGATGATGTTCAATCTCCACAAACTGCTGATATATCTTTTACTAGAAAATATTTCGCATGTGACGCGGATGCGGCAATATTTATTACAGCTGATCGCATTTTACCGATACCATCACCCAAAGTTGAAGAAATCGAATATGCAAATGAAGCGCCAGAAAGTAGCTGGTCTTTTACTAATTTTATACAAAATACGGTAGATAGTATCCGTGCATCGCTGCCGTTATAGGTGCTAGCATTAAATTAATAACTGATAAGATGATATTTGGAGGAGATATTTCATGAAATTGCATAATTTTTTTCATAAAGGATTCCATACTATATTTAATTTTGAATATAAATATAATAATTACTTATTTCGTAAATACATACATATGTATGGACATGAATATTTTGAATTTTACAGTTAAAAATTTATTTGAAATCATTACATAAATAATGCATATACATGAACGTAGAGTTTTATAATTTATTTAATATCTCAAAAGAAATTTATAACCATTTTTTATTTCTTTTCTATTGTTTTTCACTACTTGTAATTATTTCTTCTCGGGTTTATTATCCGATTTTGATTTCTGATTGGATTTTTTACCTTTTTCCACATCTTTTATCGCTTCCAGCTGCGCCTCCCACTCCTTTATTTCCAATGGTATGTCTTTAGGCTCCAATTTGGTGTCCGGTGTAAATGACTTCAACTTAATATGATCTTTTTCAAGTGTCTTGCCTGCATGGAAATGCTTATGTCGATTCCCGATCGTGTCACGTATACCCACTTCTTTATTATCCATATATACATCTGCCCACAGTTCTTCCTTTTTTACTTCATTGGATTTCTTAGCCTTTTCAGCTGCTTCATCGATGCTCTTCCGAATGTCCTCATCTATTTTCTAAACAGCATACGAAAAATTATACATATGTATGTAAAGCTTTAATAATATTACTTTGCATTGGTCCTCGGTTAATAAGCCTTGCGAGATAGTTATTTCTTTGAAATAACTTATAGGATCACGTTTGCTACGCACTTCCGCAACCTCACCGCGTGATCGGTAACTTGTGCCTGGATCCGACATTGAATGACCGAAATAGCGATAGGTATGCGCTTCTATAATAATTGGTCCTTCTTTTTGTACAAAGCCAATAGCGAATTCTGCAGCATTATGCATTGCCAAAATATTCATACCATCGACGTAAATGCCAGGCAATGGCACACCACGTGTATAATATTCAATAGAACACGAAGAACGATGCATTTTTGTGCCCATACCTATAGCAAATCAACATGAAGCTTTAGACATTTACGTTTTTACTATTTACCACTTACCGTATTCATTATTTTCACAAACAAAAATCACCGGCAAACGCCAAAGACAAGCTATATTATATGCCTCAAATATTTGTCCTTGGTTGGCGGCACCATCTCCGTACAAAGCTACACAAACATTACCTTTCGCCTCATTTTTTAATGCAAGACCAATTCCAGCGCCCAGAGGCACCTATTACATTGTAAAGTAGTATATAATAAATGCTAATGACATAAAAAAATTTTCCTACTTGCCTGTGCACCCACAATGCCATTACCACCGTAGAATCTTTTATTGTACATATGCATGGAGCCGCCTTTACCCCGCTGACAGCCCGACTCACGTCCAGCCAATTCGGCGAGTATTTCCACTGGCTTAAGACCCATCAAATAGCACCAACCGTGGCAACGGTATGCCGTAATAAGGTGATCCGTGGGACGCATTGCAGCATGTATGCCTATTAAATGCAGCAATTCCAGAGGTTTTGTTAAATTCTTAAACTGCATTCACCTATTATTCACCTACCCACACAAACAGCTTCCTGTCCAGAATAGAGGTGGCAAAAACCGCGCACGAGTTTAGCCTTATACATAGCATTCGCAACAGTTTCCAAACGCCGTATGGTAGTCATTTGTTTATACATGCGTTCTGCTTGTTCCTTATTTGTAGTTATGGTTTTAGATGGAAATGTTTCCAGACGAATGCATTTGAATGTCTTAAATAGTATTTTATAATCAATGAATACAAAAAAAAAACACATTCTTTTTTATGCTACGTACATCGGGGATCGCGATAGTTGCCTCGCTGGCATAGTTGTGGTGCGGTGATTCCCTTTGCTCTTCGTATTCTTTGTAGAACCAACGAAATAGTCGCAAATCATACGACCAGATCTTGAACGATTGTCTGACTCTAGCACGCGCAACGGCAGCCAACATGTTCAAAACGGAAGTAATTGTTTTAATAATTATTTGTACTAATATTTTTTTTACAAATATATGTGCACAAAAGTTTACAAATAAATGTAAACATAAATTGGAATTTTTCAGATTTTTGAAAATCTACCGAAATTGCCAACTGATTTTTTTATTTATTGAATTTACCCTAATTTACTTTTGTTAAGTATATGCCTAAGTAGATAAATGATAAACTTTTATTCGTTATGTTGATAGAACAGAAATTTTTTTATATTGAAAAAAAAAAATACTTCACTACGAGAGCAAGCATTGAACGGAGTAATGGTGTGCGTTAACCCTGTTATATAAAAACATGCTTTTTGTTTTGTACATATTTTTCACTTTTATTTCGTTAATTTTTGCAACTTTAGTTAAACTTCTGCCAATAATGCAAATTGCAACTTTTAAATCTATATTATTCGTTTACAAACATAATATCTCCGCTTTAATGAATAGTTTTAATAAATATACAATGATACTTTTGGTATTTACAAAACCAAAATAAAAATAAATGTATATTAAGTATTTTAGCTATTTATGCATTGGATAATTTGAAATTTTACCAACAAAAAATATCGCAAATTATATATAAGTCTAACTAGAATATCTCGTTATTAAGTCATTGATAAGGTTGATTTCACTAATTGAACGTGTGTGTAAATACCATTTTATACTAGAGGATTGCATACGTTTGTCTTTTGTGAATAATATAGTATGTTTGAATTTCACTAGTGATTCGGCTACACTTTTAACTTATGGCTACAAGCAGACGTGGGTTTGTTGCTTAAACTTCGTTTTACAATTTTTAGCTACTTCAAATGCTAATGGCTTAGTGGTTGACACCTTTGCGTTGGGAAATATGCGCAATGTTATAGCTGCTTAAACCACGTATCTTTGGCTCCAAATTGTTTGAGTAAACATCGGTCCACAAACCGGTTACAGGCAGTTCTTTGTCATTCTTAGCGACTTGTGTGGCTTCGTCAATTTCCTTGCGCACCTTAGTATCGATTTCCTATAAATAAAAATGAAATTGAGGATATAGTACAGAATATTTTCGCAATTTGTTTACACCCACCTTAATCTCATCAGCAGACAAAAGTCCATGCTCTATGCACAACTCCTTGAACGATGTGATGGGATCACGCTTTTGACGCACTTCTTGGATTTCCTCACGTGTACGGTAGCTTGTACCGGGATCAGACATAGAGTGGCCGGAATAACGATAAGTATTGGTTTCCAATACAATTGGACCAACCTTATTCACATATTCGATGGCAAATTCGGTGGCACTACGTACAGCTAAAATATCCATACCATCAACCCAGATACCGGGTACTACATCACCGCGTGTATAGTAGTCAGTGTTGCTGGAGCCACGTGCCGTACTGGTACCCATAGCGTAATTATTATTTTCGCAAACGAAAATTGCCGGTAATTTCCACAAAGCAGCCATATTATAAGACTCAAATACCTGACCTTGATTGGCAGCCCCATCACCGTAAAGCGATAGACAGACGCCGCCATTGCCTTTGTACTGACAGGCGAGTGCAACGCCCGTACCAAGTGGTACCTAATCGATACAATATTTTAAAAGAAAGAATTTAGAAATATAATTATATATATGTATAATGTAATTATGCGTATTTGACATACCTGTGCACCCACAATGCCATTACCACCGAAGAAGTTTGGCGCATACATGTGCATAGAGCCGCCTTTGCCAAAGGCACAACCACTCTGGCGGCCAGTCAACTCAGCTAGCACACCCACTGGCGAGACACCCATTAAATAGGTCCAACCGTGCACACGGTAAGCAGAGATTATATTATCCTGTTCACGCATGGCGGCTTTCATGCCTAAAAGAATTATAAAAGCAAAATTTTTTATATTATTATAATAAATAAATATTTTTTATATTATATTATCAATATTTAAATTTTCTACTCACCTACGGCACACGCCTCCTGGCCAGAGTACAAGTGGCAGAAACCGCGAATGATTTTCTCCTTGTACAAATTACCAGCGGCAGTTTCGATGCGACGAATCGTCTGCATTTGGGTGTAATATTTGGTTGCATCCTCTTTGGTCAGTGTGACGGTTGATTCGGGGCCTTTATCGAGCCTATGCAGCTTAAATGGCTGTATGAAAATGAAACATTTTGAATAAGAAGTTTAACTTCTGAATTCTAAAGTATTATAGCCATTGGAAATCTAAGCCAATTTAAGTAGTTGCTAAATAAAATAATTAAACTATAACAATTTGAATGATATTATAGCTTATGGTTACTAAAACTTCCGGCACTCGAGCTATGAAGTGCAATCAGCTGTTTTCTTTACTTCTAATTGCCGATAAAAATAATAAAGCCAGTTAAGAATTAGCGGGATTGTGGTTGATGGGACTAATTATCTTCAAAAGCCACTTGAAGGTATTGGTTTTTCTTTTTACATGTATGTATATGTTTTAGCATTTTATAAGCTACTGTAAAAATATCGCTGATAAGCCGCCGACGGCAAACCACGCGACAAATAAGAAATGTAAAAACAAAACATTCAGATAGCAGCGCCAGTTGACGTGAGCATAGCATGTCATTAATATTAGATTTGTTTCTAAATACATACATATATGCATTTTTAATTGTTTCTTACTACTTATTACTTTAATGACCTTCAGTATATTGTACACGCAATAGTAAGGGTAAAAGTATGTACGCACATTTTTTTTATCAATAGTTTTGCTTTCGAAAAAATAGTATTAGTTGTTTATATGGTTTTGCTAAATTCTATATTTGCAATTTAGCCACCTGACCATACTTTTTCATACCATTTCTACAAAGGAAAAGATATCTAATACAGCGCTGCCCCCATGTTGTGTCAAAAGATGTTATGTAACACATGAAAGATGTGGGGTAAAGAAGATAGGAGCTTATGCTTTGAGCAGGGTAAATTGATAGTGATACACTTACGCGATGAACTTGTACGGTTGCCTCCGTTGCGTATTTGTTCGATTTTTGTACACCAGATTGGGCGGCATTCTGGAATAAACCGAAAAAGGATGAATAATTCCTGCACATGTTAAAAATTGTTGTTTTAGTTTTAGCTTCCAATGCCGCTGCTGCTGGCTGATGTTGTAAGCTGCAGCTAACCAAAGGAGCTACATGCTGTCGCTGAAGCAGGTTCAACATGCTCCAACCACCGAGACGACGGCCACATAAAGTTGTCGTCGTCACCAGCATTCTGCGGTTACATACTTTTTGCAATTGTTTCGCCACGACTGGCAATTCGCTGCATCTGGAAAGTGTACGCAACATTTTTTCACTTTATCAAATCGTAAATTTAATATAAAATATGACTTTTTTCCACAACTCGAAATCGCGTAACACCTAGACCAAAAAGAACGTCGCGGAATACACGAATGTCAAATGCGAAAAAACTGATGTACTGAACACAATGCTCGCGACAGACTGCAGCAAAACTTGAACTGAAAATAGCGTTGTGAAACCTACTACATGAACATTCGTAAGAAGGCAGCGACATAACAATGGCCGGCATGTATACAAGACAACAAAGCTCTTCATTTTGCATGTACACAATTTCTTTGTGGCCATACTAATACCTTGCACTTCAATGAAATTTTAAGATTTTGTTCAAAGTGAAATTTTTATGCAAAAAATAAGTAAATAGGTAATTTTTTTTTAATTGTCAATTGTTTTTTCAAATTATATAATACAGCCTGTTGACAGATGTCGTTTGCAGCCTGTCGCGAGCATTGTGTTCAATACATGATAAGTGAAATTGTTGTGCTGCTTCTTCCTTTGCAAAACTGTGAATAATCAAGCGTCATCACAAATCAGGCCATGGTGTTCTCCAAGTTTTATGTGTAAAAGGCATTTTATATACCAAAATTGTAATATTTTAAGTAATTTTTGAAAAAGCTAGTTCTTTTAGTTATTATTTCAAAAAGATTAATTTATGAGAAGGCTTTACTGTATGGCACATTCGAACATCTGTTGAAGGGGCCCTTATTTTTTCCCTTTCAGGGAAGCATACAACACTGCTTAATGTTTTGACATTTATCGTACGCAAAAACAACAGGCGGCATGCTGTGGATTTCATGAATTAATCGTGTATTTCAAGCAATTTGTGTTTATAGTAAAATAACTACTCTTTGAAAACAATTCCAGCAAAATGCCGAAAGAGCAATTTCGCGAAGCTGATGTGATCAAAAAAATGTATATAAGAACTTTGCCAATGCCAATAACATTAAGTAATGTGTGTGTATATGTTCTAGCTCCCATGTGCAGTTTTGCATCAGCAGTCCCGAAGAAATACAACAGGAATCACATTTGCGCATTGTTTCCAAAAATCTATACCAGGGACAACGCCAGCCGGTGCCCTATGGCGTGCTGGATAAACGTATGGTAAGTTTTTATATTTGTTTTTAAAGTAATAAATTGGTTACAGATACTTTTTTGTAGGGTGTGAGCTCGAAAGACGCCACCTGTGACACATGCGGCCAAGGCCTAAATGAATGTATCGGTCATTTCGGTTATTTGGATCTTGCCTTGCCAGTATTCCATATTGGACACTTCCGGTCGACAATATCAATCTTGCAAATGATTTGTAAAAGCTGCTCGCATGTTATGCTGCGTGAAGTCGATAAGCGTATATATGAAAAAAAATTACTTAATCCAAATCTATCATATTTAGCAAAGAAATCTTTGCATGGGCAAATATTAAACAAAGCAAAGAAACAGACGAAATGCCCTAATTGTGAAGCACCCAATGGCGGTGTAAAGAAAGGTCCAGGTTTATTAAAAATTCTACATGATCCCTGTAAGGGAAAGAAACCGGACGCTATAATGACCGATGCACTAAATGAATTGCTGCAAGCAACTGAAAATAATCGCGAATTGCAGCAAATGCTGACGTCATACAATCAAGTTGAGGAGCTTAATCCTTTAACCGTATTGGAGTTATTCAAAACAATACCGAAAAACGATATACCACTTTTAGGTATGACTTCTGACGATGCCAGTCCGGCAAATTTGATCGTGACTCGAGTTTTCGTGCCACCGGTATGCATTCGTCCCTCTGTGCTGTCCGAGGTAAAAGCAGGCACGTAAGTGATCTAATATGGTAATTTAAAAAATAATTGTATACAAATTTAATTAATTACTCTACAGCACCGAAGATGACTTGACCATGAAGCAAAGCGAAATTTTACTTATCAACGATGTTATACAAAAACATATGACGGGTGGTGGCAAAATTGAGCTCATTCAAGAAGATTGGGATTTTTTACAACTTCACGTTGCACTATACTTTCACAGCGAAATTTCTGGTATTCCACTAAATATGGCACCCAAGAAGACCACACGCGGCATTGTTCAACGTTTGAAAGGCAAACAAGGCCGATTTCGCGGTAATCTCTCTGGCAAACGAGTGGACTTCTCCGGTCGTACCGTAATCTCACCAGATCCTAACCTCATGATACATCAAGTAGGTGTACCTGAGCGTGTTGCTAAAATACTTACCTATCCGGAGCGTGTAAATCCCGCTAATATACAAAAAATGAAAGAGTTGGTGAAAAATGGCACACAGAAACATCCTGGTGCAAATTATGTCCAACAACGTGGCTCCACATTCAAAAAGTATCTTGCTTACGGCAATCGTGACAAAGTAGCACACGACTTAAAGTGTGGTGACATTGTGGAAAGGCATTTATGCGATGGCGATATAGTGCTTTTCAATCGCCAACCATCACTACATAAAATGTCGATTATGTGTCACCAAGCTAAGGTGCAGCCACAACGTACATTCCGTTTCAACGAGTGTGCTTGTACGCCATATAACGCAGATTTCGACGGCGATGAAATGAATTTACACTTGCCACAAACAGAGGAGGCGCGTGCAGAAGCTCTAATACTCATGGGCAATAAATCGAATCTGATAACACCGAAAAATGGTGAAATACTCATTGCGGCGACACAAGATTTCATAACTGGCGGCTATTTGCTCACGCAAAAAGATGAATTTTTGACCAAGGAGCAAGCAATGCAGCTAGCTGCATGCTTTCTAGCCGGACCTGATGCCAATATGCGCATTGATATGCCGCCACCGGCAATATTGAAACCACGAAAACTCTGGACGGGCAAACAAATATTCAGTCTACTATTGCGTCCGAACAAAGAATGTCCGGTGATGGCGAATTTGATAACCAAAGGCCGTAATTATACATCCAACTATGATCTATGTATACGAGATTCGTGTAAGTTATTTGAAGTTATATCAAATGGGTCTAATTTTAATTTAAAATTTCTTTAAATTGATATTTGAGGGGTGATTATACGTAACTCGGAGCTAATTTGTGGTTCCATGGATAAAAGCACTTTGGGTTCGGGCACCAAAAACTGCATATTCTATGTTATACTCCGTGACTTCGGTGAACTCTATGCTACCAAATGCATGTGGAGGTTGGCAAGGGTAAGTAAAATACTTAAACCTAACTTAAATCAATTAAAATATCCCTATATAGTAACAAAATTCTAAAACTTCCACTTTCCTCTGATAATAATTGGTTTTATCATTAGTATGGCATATGTATTATTTCATATACATTTTGTTGTACCCAATCATTATCAGTCTAATTACTCCTTAAGCTTGTGAAAGCATTCTTTTAATTTCCCATTGAAAACAAAAATGCTCTAAATGAACAAATTAGTGTTAGCAATCAGAAGAGCGATTACAATTGCTTGCAAAAAAAAGGCAAAACGCTCACAACGCAATTTGCTCCAATCAGCTAAAATAAAATAAAAATATCACATTATCGAAACTCAGTAAATCCCCAAACTTTTTTTTTTTAATTTAGTAACACTGCTTGAGAAAAATATAACTTGAACACTACTGATTGGTTTACAATTATTTTCGTATCTTATCTTAATAAGAATTGAAGTACTTACAAGAAATAATTAGAGATTAAAACCAATGTATATTTATGTGTAAAACCATCAATTGCCTGCAAAAACTAATATTTTTCTAAGAAAAAACTCTAAACTTTTTTATTTGCAGAACTAGGTGTTTGATTAACACATACCTGATAGTTTATGGCACAAAAATTCATTACACAAACAATTTATTTAAGTTATACGTTAGGTTTTTATAAAAAACAGAAATTAGTTTGAAAATCATAGCACAGTTTATTTCCTTTATAACTCAAGTATAAGCCCGCAATCAATAACTATTGAAGTCAATACCCGTCACCTGTGAAATATAACTCAGGAACGAGGTTAAACGCGCAAAACCAGATGGATACTTCATAGTACACATGTCTTCTGCCACAAATGAGTTTATACCGATCTGCATCCAATTGCCATTCAAATCGCGTGTTATTAGCGGTCCACCAGAATCTCCACTACATATCGACATGTCAGTGCCATTTTCGCCTTGCGCGCATAGCGTTGAAGGTATCACCACGCTCGAGCCAAATACGTCGCCACATTGACTATTATTGATAATCTGCACTTGTGCATACAATAATAAATTTGAGGATTCCAAATAATCATCGTCGGTTAAGCCGAAACCCGCAATCGTGGCTACTTGTCCAATAAAATTGAAATTCGCATAATCATTTGTCACCAATTGTATGGGTTGTATAGTTTTGCTGAATGTCAATGTTGTTGGTAGCTGAATTAATGATACATCATTATTTAGTGTCGCACTATCGTAATTCGGGTTTATATACAGCTGGGTTGCGGTCATATTTAAAGCGTTGGGATTATTAAGTAGCACAGTACCGAACATAATAAATACAGATGTTAGGCCATATGTACAATGTCCCGCGGTGAGCACCCAATTTGCTGCGATAATTGAACCGCCACATAGCAAATATTCGATCGGATCTTTTTTCAAAATTACTTGCCAGGGAAATTGACCAAGTGATGCCGGACTACCAGATACAATGCGATTTTGCTGTTGACATAAAAAATACAAAATTAAGTCATACATCACTAATGTAATGATTTCAACAGAAGAGTTAATTTAAAATTGATACTCTTATGATTAAAAAAAAAAAAATCACACTATTATACATACATACATACATTAATTGTTATATTATATAAATATTCATTCTGATCATACTTTTCCCAAATGAGTTTACAGCCTTTTCCACCTGATTTTATTTGCATTAAATACAAGAGAGCTGCAATCGGAAGTAAAATAGAAAATTTGAACTTTCGCTTTAATTTTATTTCCGCATTGCCAACTGTGCAATTTATAAAATATTACAGTTCTAATGTAAATACGAGTACACTTTCCTTTTGTAAACATTGAAATATATAAGGGAAATTATTATTTTTTCAGCTTTGTATTGAATCACGTGCGATACTACACGGATAGATTTTAATTATTTTATTTAACAAATCACACATTTTCATTATTAACCACATTTATTAAAAATCTTAACTACCAACCCATTTCAGCATTTTTATTTTTTTATTTCACTAATTAAACTGCTTAATATTTCGAACTCACAATTTCACCCAAATCTGTTCGTGGCTCTATATAGGCCTGTGCAACCGCGAGTAGCATTATACTCGTAAGGCACAGGCATGCCAGAATTTCAACTCTCATTATAATACAATTTTCAGTAGAAACCACAGTAATTGGTTTTCAGTAGAAACTACAGTAATTCTCCGCAACAACCAGAACTTTGCGAAATCACGACAAACTGCTCTGACGCGTCGACCGTTGCCAAGTTTTAAAAACCGATTAATACTTTCTCACTCCAGTGATTAAGGCATACTATCTCTAAATGTTTCCCGCTACGGTTTTATATATGCATATCTACATTCATACATTCCATGGTTTTTATCATATTAAGCTCTAAAAAATTAAAATTTTTGCCATGAGAAAGGCAATGCTATCTCTTTTGTACACTTTGTACTTTTTAATTGTTTAATTCATTCATCAAATATTGTTATTCAATATCTTATCGGCCCAACAGGTGCTGTGCTCTCTTAATTATAGTGTTTACGACATGTTTTGTCTTTGCTAAAAATTTAATGATAGCAAGTCTCAATTGTTTACTAAATTTTGTGTAATTTCTGTACAAATCCGGGAAGCAATTTCAATCAATTTTAGTTCTAATTGCTCTTGTATTTTTATGGTACAAGCGTATGTGTCTGGCTTTGTATACCAACGAGTTATCACTGCTTTCTATTGGTATCGTCAGAATTTTATTTATAGAAGTTCGTTACTTCATCAATTTTATAACGGTTATTGGGGTATTTGTTTGTTGGTTTAAGGAATTAACGGAAATTATGGATGTTCATACTTATATTTTTTCGTTATTGAGAGCTGGTTTATAGACACTACTTCATATCAAGTTACTCTAAAAGAGCACCGTACCAGTTGCGTGATTAAGTTTTCGTTCCGACGTCAACGTGCTCTAGACAGGTGGTGGGAGGGCTCCACTATATTTGCATTAGAGAGCAAAGCCAGTGCTTTTTTGTTGTTGTAACGGCAGAAAACATTCCTGAAGGCATGGTGACGGCACCAATTGACAATCCTTGATGAGCTTTCTTCAGACAGACTTAAGGCGTCAGCCGTTCCTAATGTTGTAGTTACAGTGCTACACAATAATCGAAATATATTGAAAGCAATTGTTCTGCTACACAATTTCGGTAATAGTTATTGCTGTAACGTCAGAAAATATTTTTGAAATAACCGTTCCTATGACAGTGGGGTCTAAGTAATTGGAACAGATCCGAATTTTTATCCGACCAAGGACTGTTAACTCGGCGCCATTCCTCGAAAATAATTCAGAAATGCTTTCTACCGCTAAAACAACAACATTCTCCAAATAATTTTAAGAAATGCTGACGAGATGACAGTCTTTGGTGGGATGAAATATGTGTCTGATCCGGTTCTGTAAACTCGAATTCAGAAGAAATAGCCTGATCCTGACTCAAAAAACGCTTCAATTTGATATTAAAAACTATACTCCCAGCTTTTTAATAATAAAAAAAACAAAAACGAAATAATATTTGCAGATCGCATCATATTTCATACAAAATCGTGGCTTCTCCTTCGGCATTAGCGATGTAACACCCAGCAATAAGTTGTTGGAGGAAAAACAAAAGCTATTAGAAAATGGCTATGCCAAATGCAATGAATACATTTTGGAAATGAAGAAAGGTACACTACAATGTCAACCAGGTTGTACACCGGAACAAACATTAGAGGCCGTAATGCTGCGTGAACTCTCTTCTATACGTGAGCAGGCAGCTAAGGCTTGCTTCCGTGAGCTGCATCCCACTAATAGTGCACTTATAATGGCGCTGTCCGGTTCCAAAGGCTCCAACATCAATATATCACAGATGATTGCTTGCGTCGGCCAACAGGCTATCAATGGCAAGCGTGTACCAAATGGATTTGAAAATCGTGCTCTGCCACATTTCGAAAAATTCTGTAAGTGCAATACTAGATTATATTAGATATTTTTTAAACTTTTTTACGTTAATTTTAAATTATTTTTTTCGAAATAGCCGCCATACCGGCTGCACGTGGTTTCGTACAAAATAGTTTCTACTCGGGTCTGACGCCTACGGAATTTTTCTTCCATACTATGGCTGGACGTGAGGGTTTGGTCGATACGGCTGTGAAAACGGCCGAGACTGGTTATCTGCAGCGTCGTTTGGTGAAGGTATTTTTTTTTTTTTGTTTTTTCTATAAATAGTAAGTTTTTGTTTATATATATAATAATTCCACCACATTTCACCAGTGCCTGGAAGATCTGGTTGTACACTACGATGGCTCCGTTCGTAATGCCATAGGTGAAATAGTTGAGTTGATATATGGCGGCGACGGCCTAGACCCCGTTTTCATGGAAGTCAAAAATAAACCTGTAGATTTGGTACGCCAGCTAAATCATTTGCGCGCCACCATGCCCGATCGTAAAAGCACACCGCAAGCCGCAGCGGATATTTCACCAGTAGTGCGTAAAATACTCACCGAAGATCAATTTACCATGAGTCGCAAAGATTTTCAAAGCGAAATTATGTAAGCAACCTAATATAATATATATGTACCATATGTGTGCAAAGATAGTATAATTATATTTGCTTTACAACAACAACAGCACATTTATCGAAAAAGTCGCACAAAAAATCGCCAATGTACAAGCCAAATACCGACGTCACCCGAAATTGGCTAACGAAATTGAACGCCTGACTGAGGAACAAATCCGCACATTTATGCGTTGGGTCAATGACAAATACAATCGTGCTGTAACTGAACCTGGCACTGCTGTGGGCGCTGTTGCGGCGCAAAGTATTGGTGAGCCAGGCACACAGATGACATTGAAAACCTTCCATTTTGCTGGTGTGGCGTCGATGAATATTACACAGGTGTGTATGAAGAGTTAGAACCCACAATACAAACTGAACGATCAAAATCAAGTCCATGTATAGAAAACTATTTTATTTTACGAGTGATCTTCACAAAATTTTACATAAATTATTGTCCAAGGTCGTTACGATCTAATATCATTCAAAGTTGATGCTTGTTTTTATTTTTTGTGTCTCTATTTCTTCGTGATTTATAGTTTTCAATGCCTAGTTATTGTAATGATAACAACAACAATATTGTATCTCGAATAAGTTGCTCGAAAAAATTCCAATTCTCTCAATTATATTAATTCAATTTAAGCTCTTTTAATATGTCATCAAAAATATACAAATTTTCTTATAAACAGGGTGTACCACGTATTGTCGAAATTATTAATGCGACAAAAACAATTTCAACGCCTATTATAACTGCTGAAATTGAGAATAACACCAGCATGGAGTTTGCGCGTAAAGTGAAGGCGCGAATTGAGAAGACTACGCTCGGCGAGGTAAGTGCCCTAGCAGCATAGTAACATTATATCAACTATATGCGTTATTTTAAATAACATTTCCATGCAGATTTCATCTTACATCGAGGAGGTATATAGGCCAGATGACTGTTTCTTAGTTATACGCTTAGATTTAAACCGCATAAAAGTTTTAGGTTTAGAGATTAATGCCGAAACAGTACGTTACTCGTAAGTAAACACAGTTAATCTACTAAATTATTGAATTTTAACCGCTACTTCCGTTATATACCAGCATCTGTACGTCGAAGCTGCGCATCAAACCGGCGTTAGTAGATGTTGTCGGCTCCTCAGTAATAACTGTACACATTGATACTGCCAAACATGGCGCCACACTCAACGCCGAACTACAACGCCTCACCATATCCATACAAAATGTCGTCGTTGCTGGTTTGCCGAATATTTCACGCGCTGTCATCGCTATTGATGATGCACACACGCCGGCCACATATAAACTGTGTATTGAGGGCGCAGGCTTACGCGATGTTATGGCCACTTTTGGTGTTGTCGGCGCACGCACCAAAAGCAACAATATCTGGGAAGTTTATAATACATTGGGTATTGAGGCTGCACGCACCACCATCATGACGGAAATCACGGATGTGATGGAAGGGCATGGCATGAGTGTTGATCATCGTCATATTATGCTGCTGGCTAGTCAGATGACGTCGCGCGGTGAAGTGTTGGGCATAACGCGACATGGTTTGGCCAAAATGCGTGAAAGTGTCTTCAATCTGGCTTCGGTAAGTGTTGAAAAGACATTATTTTATTTTCCTATATGGAGTGAACCTTACCCTTCATCCATGTGACATTTTTTCGAAAATAACTGAAAGAAGAGAGTTCTCCAACAAATTGCCCCAGAAATCTCTAAATTTGTATAATTATCATAAAGGTACATGTGACCTAACATTGAAAAATGTATTTCCCAGCAACAAATTTTATACCTGATACTTCTGAATTTGGTACATTTAATATATTTGTTGTTGTTGTTGTTGCTGTAACGGCAGAAAACATTTTTGAAGTAATTTGGAGGAGTGCTGTCGAATTGACACTCCTTGTTACGATAAAACCCAGTATCTTAAAAAATAGCAAAATCTCTTTCGATGTCAAAGCCTCATTTGTTCATAACCTCGCTTAACATCGTATAAAATTCCGCATTCCTTAATTTTGAAAATCATCGATTAAACCACCGTCAAAACAACCCATTACTTAAAAACATTACCTTACAGTTTGAAAAAACCGCCGATCACTTATTCGATGCCGCCTACTTTGGTCAAACGGATGCCGTGGATGGTGTTTCCGAGCGTATTATACTGGGCATGCCCGCCTCCATTGGTACCGGACTCTTTAAACTTATACACAATCATGAGGACACCGCATTGCCGGAAGTGGAACCGCCATTATTTCATGCTGTATCAGCGTGACCTCTGTGGTAAATGGACTATACCAAATCGGTGATATTTATGTATGCAATTTATTGCAAGAAATACTGTTAATTCTACGGTTGTAAGCGGTCGAAACGAAAAATTAATTTCTGAAAAATAAATATACTAAGAAATATGTAATTCTAACAAAATGCTGAGCAACTGAAAGTCGTTTAATGGGTTTTCAAGTTTTTTTAATCGCAAAAAAAATTACAATTTTTTTACTTCATTAAAATACCGTAGTTACAATCACTTAAATAACTAAATTTCATGTTCTCTGCCTTCGCAAGCGGTTTGCAGCAGTGCTCTGTTGCTTATTTTACATTTCTACTATAACTACACACACAAACACATTTTCGTAGAATGATTTAACGCTAAATATAATGCTTGTAATTAATGATTTTGGGCGAAAATATGCAGAGAATTTGTGTAAATGTGTAATTAAACGCGTTTAAAAGTAGATTCGTACAGCATCATCGGCATTCTGCTCAACGGGGCAGTAGGGACATTTGAGTATGTGACCATTACTAAGCTTATGCAATGCATCATTGGAGATAACATGACCGCAAGTTAATTTCTTCGGCGGATTATCCTCCGTGGTCTGCTGACGTAATATGGGACAAGCGAAAATTGAGTGGTAACGGTACTCGGGATCAAGATCAATTTCGATTGGCAACTCATCGCGTGCGTTCCAAATGCTTAAAACTTGACGTGACTGCATAACCTGAAATTGAGATATTAAAGCGCAATGTGTTAATTAATTTTTTACATACAAAGACATATAAATTAAAAATAAAATTTAAATACTAACCTGCTTAATATTAAGCAATGCCGGCAACGCTGTACAACCCGCATTAATAACTACTGATAAAGCCGAATTTTTGCTAATACCCAAAGTGTGACACGCATCCTTCATGAAGACATATGATGCCTCCATCCACACTTGTGACGAGATCAAATGCTTATACGGCGAATTATCTATGCCCATAGGCAAGTATATGAAACAACCCATTAAATTTGGTATTTCGTGTTCGAAACGATCGATAAATTTGCCGAAATTCTTGCGTGCATATGCAATTGCCTCGGCTTGTGCGCTAATGCCACGCGACATTATTTGCAGAAATGCTAAACGGTGTAATTTGAATTCGAGTGTTGAATTTTTGGCAATTAATTCCTCGGAGTAGCGTGTTGCCCACTCTAATGCCGGTCCCAACTCCTGCTGTTGTATACCTTTCCAAATGCGATAAATCTCAGCAAAGCTACTTTCTGAATCAAACACTTCTTGTGCCATCTCTTCGGGCATACCCGATTCCTTTATTAACAAACGTGCTACATCATCCATGCCTTGGCGGCAGTAATGCTTCGCCATTACTTTATTTAACAACATCAGATTCTCTTCATCTTGTAACGCATCAACACGCGTAGTAGCAGTAAAGTCCGATACGAAATTGCGATCAATTACTTTGCCTACTTTGGAGACGGCGCCGTGCAAATCACGATGCTCTGCTGATATTCGTTGCAACTTTTCGTTAGCTTTCTGTAGTGTATCCAGCACATGTTTGACTTGAGAGTCATTAAGTCGTGGTTTTGCGGCTATAATAAAAAATGTATTAATGCAAATAAAAGTAGTGATTGGTAGCAACTTACGTTCCATTTCAACTTGCATATCAGCTTCATCGGCCATTGGATCATCTACATCGGAGGGTGCATCTACTTGGGTACTTGTATTTATTGTGCCAGACATTTCTTGTTCTGCCTTGTTTAGCACTTTCATCAACTCCTCCAACAGTGTAGCAACATCAGCGATTTCGGCTGCAGCATTTTCACGTATATCTTTCAATTTATAAATAACACGATCCAATTCCTTGCCTACTGAGTTCAAGGCTTCTACATCAGCGCTTTGCATTTTGCAGTTAACACTAGCAATGTGATGAATATTTATTTGTTTTAAATTGCGTTTTTTGCGTGTTGATTTCTAGGGCAATATTCCAAAAAGAACTGTAACACAATTGTTTTTCCTTTGTATTTGTATTTTCTTTGTTTGCGTATTTGATGGTCTTATCTCTTCAAACTTCTGCAATGCTTTATTTCGAGAGAAGATTTGATGTTTCGTTGTTCTTTTTTCTTTTTGAAATAAAAAAATATAAAAAGAGTTGAAATATTAAAATTTTATCAACAAAATGGTATTTATATCATTGAAAATATTCGAAATTATTTGTTTTCCTTACGTGCTATTAAGTTTGCTTTTCTTTGCTGAAGATTTTCACATTTCTTGCTTTGATCCCTATTCGTTGTAATGCCAGATGCAAACTTTTATTTCAAATTGTAATGTTTTTGTTGAAATGTTATAAGTAGAAACGTCAAATTTTAATCAAATTAACAATATTTTATATTTTCAATTTTAATACAAGAATTTAAATTATTAAAACAAAATCAATTTAAATTTGAACAAAAATTTTTGTGTACCAAATAACTACCCATAAGTAGTTGGCAATACCAACCAGTTTTCTATTGTTACTTATGTCTGAAAAAAGAAGCAGAAAATGTTGAAATAGCTTTGTAAACAAAACTGCAACATTTCATCCCAAGTTGAAGAAAATAGTAAGCTACTATAACTACATAGCTCAAAATGGATAAAGCCGATTCCACACAGTCATCCAATCCACGACGCAAAATCCTAAGCTTGGCGGTGTCACAAATTTTAATGGAAAAAGGTTTTGACACCGTTGACAAGGAGTGCCTGGAAACGCTTACTGAAATGCTACAAAGCTGTGAGTTTTTTTTTTTACAATTATTTACTATTTCTCAAGAATTAAAGCAATTTATCCATTTTAGTACTTGTGGAAGTGGGGCAATCAGCACGAAGTTTCTGTGAGTTTTCTGGACGCACCATACCTGTAATTGGTGATGTGATTGTAGCACTTGTCAACATGGGCATATCACTACAGGGTATTGAAGCTTTTGCTAAGCGTGATGGTCGTCAGATAATACCAATGCCATCACAAGCTTCGCAACAAAAGCAACTAAATCTACTACAAGCGGGCACAAAATCTTCACATCCACCTCATGTGCCCAACTATTTGCCTGCATTGCCCGACCCGCACGCATATGTGCGAACACCGGTAAATAAGTTCATATATTATACCAAAAATTGGTTACATTTTTGTTTACACGTTTGTAGACGCATAAACAACCAGTGACAGAGTACGAAGCTATACGTGAAAAAGCAGCTAACCAAAAAAGAGATGTTGAAAAGGCTTTAACCAAATTCCTTTCAAAAACATCTGAAACGCACAGTCTTTTCGACAATGAGGACAATATGTTTCCCTGTGAGTAAAACCACTAAAATTTATATGTGCCCAAATTTGATATGAACATCATATATAAACAAATATTGTAGTAATTGCATGCAAACCTGCATTCCCACCTTATCTGGCCGCATTAAATCCCACTGATCAAGTATTTGATTTCGAGGAGTTGGAATATCACTACTTGGTGGCAAATCGTACGGAAGATGTGACATCCAAGGGTAAGCGCATTGCAGAAAAGTTAAATTTATTCAGTCGAAGTTACGCGCTATGTTTGCCTTTTTAGATGACAATGACGACAATGAAAGTGGTAACGAAGATGAGGGTGATAGTGAAATGAAAGCTGAGACAAAAAGCGAAAAAGATGTGAAGCCCGAAAATGACATCAAGCCTAATTCAACCACCAACAAAGCTATTTTAGAAAATCCAAATATAGATAATCCATATCTAAGGGCAGCAACACTACCTAAACGAGCTAAACCAGATCCCACACTGCTTGTCGCCCCTGCCACTGCTTCATCTACAAGTAGTGGTGCGGGTAACTAACCCTTAATATTTATTTATTTAATACTTTGATAAAAGCATATAATTTAGTACAAACAACAAAAACAAATTATTTCCTTTGCGATCTTTTCTTTTCTTCATTTAAAATGACGGCGTCAAATTTTGGTAAACGATGGCGTAGAAATTTCAATCAGCTGTTATTCTACCGGCAGGTGTTGTTTACAGTTACCGGCCACAACGAATTTGCCTACAAAAGAAAAAAATTCATTTATTAAAGAATAGTTAGATATTTAGTGAGAGGTGAAGTTGTTAATTAAATTTTGCACAATATGTTAAATTTTTTGAAACAAAGCCGCAGATTTGTGAATTCGGCAGTATGTACTTATATTAATAATTTTATACGAACACATTGTAAAATGACTGCTTCATTAGGAACCCGTTTGCATTGTTTTGGGCAATGAATCGTGCGATTTGGATTCCGCCGTGTGCGCAGTCACACTTGCCTACCATTATCAGCAACAAAATGTCGTCAGTAGCCACACCACGCGTAATTTTCTGCCAGTCCTTAATATACCACGATGCGATTATGCGCTTAAAACTGAAGTTAATTACGTTTTCCAACAACATGCAATTGGCGACGAGCACTTAACTTTTCGAGATGACCTACAAGAGGACTATTTAACACGCAGTGAGTTTATTTTCGTAGATCACCATGTTAGCCCATTTGCTACGCGTTGCCTGGAAGTTTTTGATCATCGCACGTTTGATGAGAAGGCCCAGCTATCAAACGTTTGTAAATTACATATAGAATTAGTAGGTTCATGTGCAACGTTAATAGCAGAAGAAGTACTTAAGTCTATGTTAACGCCTGAAGCTAAAGCTACAGACAGTGAAACGCTTTTTACATTGTTGCGTAGCACTATAGTGCTAGACACAGTAAATTTCAGTGAGTCTGCAAATCGTGCTACACCAAAAGATTTCGAAATCTGTGGAAAACTTGAAGAACTGTTGAGAAAGCTACCTAACAGCAAGCCTTTAACTGAGCGCACAAAATTATTCGACGCTCTAGTGGCGGCGCGTGCCGATATTAGTAGCTTAACATCAGTGCAGCTTTTACGGAAGGACTTAAAAATACTTTCAAACGGCGATGACAGTGTGAATATTGCTATTCCAGGCTTTCCAATGTTAGTACAGCAATTCATAGAGAAACCAGATGCGGCGAACGCGGTTAAAGCTTTTGCAGAGGAGACAAATTCTGCCATCGTTATTTTAATGGGTATGTTAGTCGAAAATGGCCAAGTGCAACGTGATTTAGGTTTGATAGACTTCAAATGCAATGAACTATGCAAAATAATAGGTGAAAAGCTTGTGCAATCCACTGAGCCCGCGCTTTGTTTACAGCATTATGAAAATTGCAATTTTCTCAACGGCAGTTTCTATAAAATGGGCAACATGAAAGCGACACGTAAGCATGTTTTACCGCTGGTGAAACAACTTTTAGACCAAATGCCAAAATAGTTTGTGAAACGGATTCAAGATTCACAAAATAATTTTCTTTATTACATACTCTAAAAAAATTAATTTAAAATAATAAACAACCAATTCTTCAGATCTGTTTGGCACCGGCACCTTCATCAACGTTATCTTCACCCATGGCATCATCTCCACAGTCCAAAGCTAGATCTTCCAACATTTCTGCCAGCGTAATATGTGGCACGCTATCGTTCGCGGCTTGCTTATCATTACTATCAACAGGCAGCGTTTTTTTAGCATCACGATAGATGTTAATCTGTTTACGATAATCTACGTCCTCTTCCAAATCTTCAAGGAATTCATGGAAGTCATGTTTGCTGCGTTCATCTGTTGCCTCATCGGCTAAATGACGTAACTTCCAGTTACGATTGTTCGAACGTGTTTGACGATCAGCGTAGCACTTACGCACCAGCAACACATCAGGAATTTGATCTGCAGACAAATTCTCGAATTCAGTGTTGTTTATATTCGCTTCACCCAAATTGTAGCCCATTACAGAATCGCCTACCTTCAGCAAATGACCAAGATGTGAACGTGTGTGTATCGTATTTTCGTTTATGCCCAACTCAGAGGAACGCACCACCCAAATATCGCATAAAACGTGGCGAAACGATACGTGTCCTGTGCCGGGTATATGCTTACGATCCTTATCCATGATGGGTTCGATATCCATAACGACATATTCGACCAATTGTTTCGGATCACACAGCGCTTCAAAAGGATTGCGAAAGAACATCTGTCCCGGCAACTCTGATATTTGCGCAGTCATTGGATCAATTAGATGTATACCGGTAGCAACTTTATACACCAAGCAAACTGGCGAAAGATTACCCAGCTGTTGACGCAACTTCTTTGACAGACAAACTGCACTATCCTTCGATAAGGGCGCTATTTCCACAGACCATGTGTATTTATAATTGAAATTGTTGCTATGTATGTCATGCGAAATCAAACGTTTGGACGTGGTCACCTTAACTGGCACCATATATTGCAAAAAGTCAACCATCTTCTTTGCATGATTGAAGTTCGCATAATAGAAATCCAAACCACCATGCAATGGCTTAATGCCCAACGTATTTTCGTGTGCCTTATGTTTCAAAATCAGCTGCTCCAAATAGTAAAACGTCTTTTTGTTTTCAGCGCGTTGTCGCACCTGCACCAAGCAATGCCAGAAATCTTTCGCCTCGGTACGATGACAATCATCACACATTTGATTCTGCACAGTGAATTCCACGATGAAAACTTGTTGCAGCACGGTTCCTCCATTAATTTCGCCATGTACTGTCAGTTTGACTTTTATGCGTTTGGAATGTGGCTCTGTCCAGACGAAACCTGCATCCACTAACTTGACAGCTTTTAAACCTTTCAGCTTTTTCAAACACAAAGCCAACAGTTCGCGCGACTCCAATGCTGCGGTTACCCACTCGCCGGGCGGCTGTAAATAGCGTTCACAGTTACGACAGAAATGTAATACTGCCTGTTTCGGTATGTTCTCCGTGATATCTATGTGATTGCGTAGACATGTTACACACATATTGGAAGGATTTGGTTCGATGGGCACACCACATTCGCAACACAAGATCATGGTAGTTTTTGTAGGCTGTGACGACGGTTCCATATACTCCATGTTGTGATTTGTATTTATATTTTAAGAAACGAAAACAAATGTAAGTAGTTAAAACTAGGCGACGCTGTTACTTTAAAATAATTTTATACGAGTTTTTTATGCGCAGTTTGCTAAAAACTTTTGTTTTGAAACACGTGCAGAACTGAAATGCACTCAGCTGGCAGTCAACATAAATGAAATTGACATACATGAAGCGTTGCCAACTAACATAGCAGAAGTGAATTGCTGATTATTGTGAAATTTATGATGCACAATAGATATCATCTTATGTTAAACATACAAATTCAATTGGAAAGTAGCAAGCATATATAGAAATATAAAATTTATTGGTTTGTTTATTCAAATTAGTTTTTTAATATAGCATGCAAACAATTTCCAATGGCAATATTCCGTATTGCGCCAAGCGCCTTTGTATTGTCAGGTCGTTGTAGAATTGCCAATTTTTTATATTGAATAAGCTGGCAACTCTATACCCCAGATATAAGAGGTTGGCAACGCATGTCTCACATAATCTAAAATGTGTAAGTATGGCAACGCCGTGCCGGGCGCAAACACTTTCTGCACGTTTATGGGCGCCTAGTACATCGACGACCTGCTGAAAAGGAATTTTCGATTCTGATTTCGACCATTATACGGCGTACGCACGTACAATTTTTCTGAATCGCATGCAGTTGTGCGCAACTCTGACTGCGAATTAACAGTTGGAACAACTTAAATAAAAATGCGTTATTTTTCTTAATAATATATTTGATTTTATAACAATTTCATAATTTTTGATTTTAGTGTAACAATTTCTTTTGCTTGGCAAATAAATATGCATGAATTTTAAATTATTATACAAATTATATTAAAAAGCGCCAACACTGTACATGATAAAGAGATTAAATCAAACTTTGAGCTTAATATTTTGCACATAAATTGAAAATTTTCGAAAATAAAAAGAAATGTATATGTGGAAGCATTACTGTAGTTGGCTTAAATATTGTGCGTTCACGCCTTCAACAATTATTCTATCAATTCATAGCATATATGTGTGTATAGCTCAAAAACTCAATAGTTGTTTGAAAATAAATTAGCTGGAGGCCCTAAAAAAGTTTGCTATTTGTAACAATATATACGGTTTATGCTTACGTTGGCTCTACTGTGATGGCGAGAACTCAGTAGGAGCTAAAATGCGTGTATGCATATCTTTTATAAGTGGCACGGTATAGGCGACACACTCGTCCCAACCGGGAGAGCGCCAGGCAGCTTCACGTGTCTCCTTGCGGTCCAATAAGGACTTATAGCCTGTTTGTGGAATAATATCTATATATTTTACATTTTTATATTAAAATAATACAGTATACATACACCAAATATGGTGCACATTGTAAAGCCGGCCTACTTGTGAGAAGAAACCAGCAAAAGCTTCGTTGTTATGTTTACGGAAGTTAATGGCTCGCGCCCAATTGTTGCCCCATTCGATCATTGTGCCAGGTTTTAAACGATATGAGCTAGAAAGAGTGCCAAAAATTTGAATTTCAAATTATTTATTCTTTTATTAACTTACCGCATTTCGTAGATATGTTTGCCTGGACGAAATTCAATTTTAGGCCAATAACTAAATGCCAGTAGATATTGTAAATGACGTGAACGTAAGTACTTTATGCGCTCATTCATTAAACTCACGTACTCCTGCAAATGTGTAAAGAGTTTAGTATTGCTCACATAAAATATTTATATTTAGCTAAAATAACCTCATCGTGCCACAAATCTTCCTTGGCGATATCGATCTTCTCAAAGCCGCCAGTGTATTTCCATAAATGCAAACATTGATCCATATCACCAACATGTACGGTCCATGATGCGACTAAATTGCACGACAAATTCGCTTTCTTATCATTTACCAGTTGTACTGAAGTTTTGCTAAATTGTTTATAAATAAACAGTCATTCAAGTTTATATAAATAAATATATGTATATGTAAGCAGCCCACGTCATTAAATTAAGTGATTGCACAAATAGTACTCACTAATTTTTCAAATAATCATCCATATAACCGGGACGTACATTGTGCGTATGCAAGGCATAAATGATTTCCTTATCACTAAGCATTCGACTGTGCGATTCTTTAGTTGGCTCAATTTTGCGCACCAACAACTTGGAAAACCATGAGTCGGCTTCGTTGAGTGGTGCTGAGGTAGTTATGGCGCTATATAATGACAAGAATTAGTACATTTTATTTATCTTCTATATCAATAAATTGTTAAGGTATCAATAAATAACTTATTTCACTGAGTTCACTTACCGTACTGTTGTGTTGTTGACAACATTCGATAAATTCTTTAATTTAATCATTTTGTTATTTGTTTGTTAAATTCTGCAATAAAAAAAATGTTATCTATAAATAAATTAATAAAACTAAGTCTTTGAAAGTATAAACGACAAATTAAAGTGAAAATATAATCAATTGCACTGCCGGTCTTGTTTGAATTATACATTTTCTAATTTGCACCTCGATTCTCATAATCAGCGGCATAACAAATAAAATCGAAAAACCAAAAAAGATTATATAGGTGTATGTATATAGCAAATATGTGTACGTAATTTCAGCACGTATGGCATCAAAAATTATCTGAGAAGCTAAAAAGAACAAAAAAAACAGCGCTATATATGCTTACGTACGTATGTACATAGATATGTATGTACTATAATACTGCTGATTTCTGACGATATTTGTTCAGGAGGTGTAGTGCTCTTGTTGTACATCTCCATTAGTCTATTTTTGTCCGTGCATAATATAGAAATTGTTTTAACAAATATGCACACACATACATGCATATGTATGTTCATAAGTCAGAAACTATTGAAGGGTTTCGCCGATTTAAGCAAAATTGTATTTGTTGTTTTGTATTAATTCCATATTGGAAAAATTTTAGGCTTATCAGTAATCATGCAATCCATTGCCACTCGAAAGGATACAACCAATACGCCGCAATTTCTCCAGAAAACAAAAAAAAAATTTTTTGCTTTACCATACTCTTATGTAGTACTGGCCATCTGTATATATGTATGTGCCGCAAATAAATTGTTTGGTATTCTTTGTATTAATTTCAATTACCTTTCGCCCTATTTAATGCCGTATATGCAGGAAAAGTCGTTGTGCGGTTACAGCACCGAACTGTGGCAATAGCGTCGATAGAGCTTAGAATTCACAGCAGTAGTAACTATAAAATTGTTTAAACTCAAAGCAAAGTACAAATAAACGACTAACTGAAAAAATTACGAAAATTAAACGACTGCATAAACTTCTACTATGAGCGCTCCACTTTTTCTGCTGCTGCTATAAAATTCACCCTCGCTTTTAATTCTTTCTCCACACTTGCTCCACCATTGACAACTGAGATAATTGATGGCAGTTGTTTGGCGTTGCCAACCATATATTCGTGCCTTTCTATCAACTGTGACAGTTGAACATGTATGAGGGAACACAATGTTGGTGCTGCCAGCTACTGAGGACTACAGAACCATCTTTGGTGATTTTGGTAATGAAAAAATTAACTCTTGTAGATTTTACAACTATTATACAAAGTCATCATATCATCTACAACAATGAATTTTAAAAGAACGCTTACCTATTTTGGCTTTTCTCTTTAGGGCTTAAGTAATATACAAAATAGAGCTGTTCGATTAACCGATTAGTGTAATATTCGAATAATATTCGACTTGCGGTATCCGCATAGTCGTAAGTTGTCAACTATTCTCAACTAGACGGTTCACCGTACGTTGTCTACTATTAGAATACGAAGCGTTCATTCTTTTTTTTTTAATGTAACAAAAAATGTTTCTACATTTATATATATAAGTTTATAGAAACTTTGCAGTACTATTAACATTTTACATCTCTCAAACAATTTTCATTTAATCAGTTATTTGCAGCAGAGCAACTATTCGAATAGTATTAACCGACTATTTTATCTGTTTTCAGGTTGTTCGAAAAATGTTAAGAGCCCGAATAGAAACCTTTACAAACCAACTTTTTATTCTTGCATTTCAATTCAGTTTTATTCATCAGCAACGGCACATGAAGTATAAATATGTATATGTACATACATATGTACATATGTCTATATAAATGTTTCTATTAGGATTTTGTGATATACATAAGTATTTACAGTTAAATTAATTAGACATAAAATTATAAATATAAGAAAACAAAAACAATGTTCACCAACTCAGCTTTACAAACTTTTTAACGACTCTTCCATATTTTATTGAATGTATGTACATAAATGTTTATTGATATGTACCTACATATTTTACTTCACATATTTTTATATTTAAGATACGTATATTTGTTAATTAATTAATTTTTAATAATCACGATACCTTAAACTTAAATATAATTGCATTACTTTCATGTCTTTCTAAAGGATCACTATAATTAATCAGTTCCTAGACTGTTTTTACAGTAAGTAAGTCTTTTCTTGGCGCATTACTATAAAAAATAGGAATTTAAATGATATCAAAATATTTTACGTAAGTAACTTTTTTAAAGTACTTATTTCACATTTGGTCGCTATTTGCTTATACGTGGTATGGTATCATCCACAGCGTTTGTTCGCCTTCCAATGCATTAACGGGTAGTTTAATACTTTTAAACTTTGTAATATGGTTCTTTAGCTGCTTAAAATTATTACGAAACCACATAGTCACATTAAAGTGAAGCTAATCTCATAATTAACTTTATATAAGTACGTATACATGAGTATATGTATGTATTTACAACGCTCAAGCGTACCTGATTTTGTGACTCGCCGGACATGGTTTAATATACTTTCGTTTTACACTAAGCTTGCGGTACTTTGTCATATCGGTTGGTGTCACCAGGACACGCGGCGCTATATTGTACAGCAATTTGAATTTAGATATATTGATGCTTGTCTCCACGGTATTGGCAGCAGCGATTTTGATGAATACTTTATTCAAATCCACTGGTTCGGGTGTCTGCCCATAGTAGCTAAACGGTTGCAATTCTGTTTGCGTCGTTTCATTGTCACTCACACTTAGCGGATCGTTATCAATGCTGTCAATGGCAGCTGTGGGGATAAACATGGGAACTGGTGGTGGCAGTAAATCCAAGTTATGTTGCAACTTGCGCTTTTTGCCATTAAATAGACACACTGCAGTAACATCATTCGCAGACGCATTCATTGTAAAACGTGTAATTGCGGTCTCATCTCTACCCAATGCAATTGTGCTGCGACGTTTCATAATTTTTTGCGCTTTGAAGACAGTTTGTAAGTCCTTGACATTGTTGCCCGCCAGCTGTAAAGCGGCCGCCGTCGAGGCAGATGCGCTTTGTGGTGTCACTGCTGAAGATATTTTTGCTTCACTGCATTTCTTTGCAACCAGCCGTCCTAGAGATAGGCGCGGTATAGGCGGTTGTTGTGAAGTTTTTTGTATTTCTTCATATAATTGCTTTATATGTTTGTTGCCGTACTCCTTCAGACAGTTCGTTAAACGTAGATTGTACAAATCCATAGTTAGACCATTTGGGAATATTAACAGCATCTGTTGCAAGAATTTACTAATTTCCATAATGGTATAGATTGTGCAGAATTTTTTGATTTCCTCGCGATGATCCGAGTAGCAATGTTGCATGTAACCATTAAATGTTGTTTGTGGTTGTGTGCAAAAACAACAACGCTTGAAGCCGCTATAATGATCGATCATGTGACGTAATACAGCCATTTCGTGTTGTGATGAATACGGACAAAACGCACACGCATAGATCAGCTTGTTAACGATCTTTTGTGATTTCATATCACACTCATTGGCGCGCTCCAAAACATGTTCCTCGAAGGCACTTTGATCCGCCAGCAGTTCCATGCAACTGAGACATTGTACATAACTTAAAGGTGTACCGATAGTTTTAAGTTTTTCTAGTTGTGCAACCGACATGGTTTTCAGGTCGAACGGTTTGTGACGTAAACGCGCAGTATGCTGTGCTAAATGCGGCAATGTTTGCCCACGATACGGACAATGGCCACAAGTTAAACCAGCGGCAGTGGCATGTGGATCTGCGGCTAAATATTTGGTTGCCTTGTGCATCTCCTTCATATGTTCCATTAACTGAAGACTATTGCCCACAAACGAAAGGCAATGCGCGCATTTAAGTTGTGTGCTAATGCGAAAGCGCATTGGTTTCTTTGCATCGTATTTCGTACAGACCGTCGCTTGCCAATGTGCCTCAAAGAGTTCTCTGGGGCTTGCGCATTGCGCAAAACAATAGTAACACACTAGTCCAAATTGATTTAAATTTATATTCTGAAAATTTTGAAGTAAGTTTCAAATTAATATACACATTATATAAACTTGTGAAAAACAACAGCAATAATCTGCTTTACGTCGACGGCATTTTTGTAAATGTTACACAGAAATAGAATTGGCATGCATTACGTGAAAATGTCAAGTTTATAGCTGTGTTCCGGTGGTGCAATGTGCACTGAATGAAATCATAAAAAAAACTCCGCTAAAAAGCAATTGATACTGCTGATTTGCAATCAAAACGAATACCAGAAATACTGAAACTAGTATTTCTAGCCCGTCATACTAAAAATGTGTCAACCTTATAAGCATGCACATTTTTTTGCGCCTTTGAACCATGTACTACCGGAACGCAGCTGATAAATAAAAAGTTATTTCTGTTGTTAGCTTAGAGTGGATTTGACATCTAAAAGCATTAGTTTATGTATTTAAATCTGCGTTTCAATTCAATAAATCACTAAATCTATTTAAATTTGCATCCCTGAGCAAAAGTACTAATAAATTTCCAGCAGTGCAAAGCCTAATTGCAATCCTCATAAACATTTTCACTTCAAATATGTGAAAGTATTTGGCAAATATAACAGAGAAAACTCCACATACATATGTAAATGTAAACATGAATAGTGAACCAAAACAAACTTGTAGAGGGAGATGTTTTGACTTTGAAGTGACTTATCTCTCGACTATTAAAACTTTTACAGTCGTATCCCAAAGTGAGAAAAAACTCGTTTTGCACCAAATTTTGTGTAAGTTCAAGAGATATAATTACCCAGATTTCTTGAGGAGCAGTCTTAACATAATTTTTTATATTAACTTTGCGCTTTTGTAACCTTGCCTTCATTACAAGTGTTTAATGAAATTGAAGGCTTGTCTTTGGAAAGGATGTGGCAGCTTTTTTTCACGTTGACTCGATTCGCTATCTTGAACAAAGCAGTTACCACCATTTAAATAGAGTGTAGCTGCTGACGGCAATAAATTATGTTTTAATTTTTAATTTTCAGCGCCCTATTTTGGGGCGCTCCTTGATATTTCGAGGAACTTTACTTTTAGGCTGGGATGTGCAAATTTTTTGGGCTTTCCACTACCAACAAGTTTCCAAACTTCACCAGTCTTTTTGAATTTAGCAATAATTTAATCAAAAATAGTATGTGATTTTTTTACTAATCGCCTATTTCATGAATTGTTGTTATTGTAGCGGCAAAAAACATTGCTGCAGTAATTTGGAGGAATGCCGCCCGTTTGAAAGTCTTTGGCCGTAATCCCTTTCATTATCTAAGCAATATTTATTACCGAAGCTTATAAATCTAGAGATGTTGGTTTCTTCACCATTTTTTTCATCAAAAACTACAACCGCACATAATAATTCACTTCCCAAAAAGTACAGACGAAGTAACGGTACCTATAGTACTAGATAATTGCATTTAAAGTGTTGCCACAGTAAGTTAACAAGCTTTTTTCTGTCGCTCAAAGATTAGAACATTTTTTTTAAATACGAAAAATACAAAAGATTACTCTTGGATGCAGTTTAAAAGCTAAAATAGTTTAAGATAAAATCACTTCAAAGTCAACAACTCAAGTTTTTCTTTCGTTCGCTTTATGTTTGTATACAATTATTACGCATAGAGTATAGATATCCGTAAATACAATCAAATATTATTGAATAGAAGTATACTCGTATAAGCTACCCGATTTTCGAACTATTTGAGAAAAGATTGATGTGTTACTACGTAATTATACATATGTATAGTATGTACTATGGCAATTTTTTAAATATTAAACTATTAATTTATGGAATAAATGGCAACATTGTATTGTCGCCCTACTTACTTTATGTGGCATTGGCGGTGATTAGCCCAAATTTATGAAATAAATCCATTTATACGAATTTAGCTAGATATACATTTATACTATTACGTTGCTGTACAAAAGCACGTTTTAAAATGTTAGTCAACTTTCATTTATATGTACGAAATTTTATTAGCGAAACATTCAAATTAATACACCAATTTGTATTTACTAAGCTTTATTATTTAAAAAATATTATAAAATAAATTAATTAATATTCTTAAACCTTA